TTTCTTCCTCAAAATAAAGCACTTGTGAAAGTTATTATCTGATTCAGTTGGAAAGATGTGCAAAGGAGCAAAAACAGAAGAGAAAGTAGTACAGCTGAGGAAAGCACTGCCAAGCTCGTCTCTGGTCCTTGTGAATCATGTTTGTAACGACCATGTCTCTTATATGTAGGGTCCTTGGCTGCCTGGGTGATCTCCTTTCATAGATTCAGTTTGCATTGTATTCTGTCTCTTGGAGTTAAAACCTTAAAAAAAAATTCATTGGGATTGGCTTATATTTTGTCTCTAATCAGACTTTTTCAAATAGAAAAATCACAGGGCTTTCAGACATCTCTATGAGATTTTTAAAATTTAGTATTTTTATTTTAATGTTCATCTAAAAGCTTATATCATTTTTAAGAAATTCACTTATTTACTAGTTTCCATAATCGAATTGGTTCCCTAGCATTTTCTAGTGGTGACCAATGACTTTTTTTCTTCTTCTTATTAACTTACAAGGTTATGCATATTTGAAGTGTTTTAGTCCATTTTACTTCATATTTTTATTGATGTTCAAAGTATTTCATCTCTGAATAGAGGGAGCCTGCTTGACTTCTAAGTTTAAAAGCATGTCTTGTTTGGATAACTACCTTATAAACAGGTATTACTATTCAATTTCAGTGCCTAAGTTTAATTTGTATTTTTACTGGCCCGTAGTAGTAATGCTTCAATTGTTTTAGCCTAATATAAAATCAACAGAGGTAAAAGAATAGACCTAATATGTAAATGATGCATTTATATGAAGTTGTAAAAATACGTCATTGCATGTTCTCTGATGCTGGTGTTACAGTATATGAGATGTGGGAAAGAGGGTGGGGGGAAGAATCATCACTTGGTATGTGGTGATGTTGAAACATGAGACTCTTAAGAATTTGCACCTGTGATCCTTACCACAGTCTTGTGTGGAGCATTGATTTAGTTTCAGCAACATAACATACTAAGTTAATGTTAAATTGAGTTTTATTAGTGTTGTTTTGTTTTTATTTAATTTCAAGTTTGGTTTGCTTTTGCACCTATTTAGAAGTTATAATCCTAAAATATTTCAAAACAACTTTTACTATTTTACGTCTTATCTCCTTAGCTCTCCGTTTTTTGTTTTAGGAGTAATCAGATTGGTTTCATACATCATTATTAGGTTTTGTGCAGTGTTGTGTTATTGCTACTTTAAGTGTATATTTTAATTCTTACATTTTTAATTTTGTGTTTGAGTTGAAGGACATGTTTTTTGCCATGATATTTAAAAAAAAAATTAAAAAAAACTTTACCGTGGTACATTTACACAGTGGGAAGCTACTCGGCTATAAAAAAGAAGGGAATCTTACCCTTTGCAACAGCATGGATGGACCTGGAGGACATTATGCAAGTGAAATAAGACAGTCAGAGAAAGGCTAATACTGCATTAGTTCATTCATATGTGGAATCTAATAAACAAAATAAACTAACTAACAGAAACAGACTCATAGATAGAGAACAGACCCACAGCTGTCAGTGGGGGTGGGGGAGGGTGTTGCAGGGCTGGGTGAAAAAGGTGAAGGGATTCAGCAAAACAACAACAACAGACGTCATAGACACAGACAATGGTATGACCATTTCCAGAGGGAAAAGGGGTTAGAGGGTGTAGAAGAGAGTATGAGGGGATAAATAGTGATAGAGGAGAAAAAAAAAAGGAAAAAAAACCCTTTATCCCACTTGTTTACTTTTCACATTTTATATTTTGGTTTTTATCAGCCTGTTCATCTGTTTAGTGGCTAATGATGTACTTGTAGATTTTTAAAGTTTTAAAATGAAGTTGCCAAATGTTTTTTCTTTATCTTATTTCTGAAATGAATTATTTCCAACATCTGTTATTTCTCCTATATTTTGGGGTAGTATATCATTTCTCTTATTCTGCAGTATTTTTCCACGTGTTCCATAGTGGCTTTTATTTTTCCTTTTTGTTAGCAGGGATTGTGTGAATGTGTATGTCTGTGTGTTTAAGTTTATTTTATTCATCAGCTTTTAGTTATACCTCAGGATTTGTTAGCAAATAAGCCTACATAAAAAAACTTGCTGGCATGCTCTACTTCTGGCATGGGTAGATAAGATTATTTTGGATCAACTCTTATTCTGATCAGCTAGAAAGGCAAAAAAAAAAAAAAAAGAGGAAGAACAAGTGAAAAAAAGTGAAAAAATATTATTATGAACCCATTAGAGACCAGCCAACACAATGGGGAATTTTGTAGTACAAAGCTGGCACGAATGGGAGGGAGTCCAGAAGAACTAAGTCCTGCAGTTGGAATCCTTTCTTGCATCGAGGCACTAGCTGATTTCAGAAGAGGCTAGAGGCAGAGAGGCTAAGATCAGAGCTGTCAATAGACTCAAAAGGCTAGGGAAATCAAAACTGGAGTTCAGCAATCCTCCAGCTTTCAATGGAGACTCAGGTGGGGATTGACAAGGAGAAATGGTGAATTGAAAATAAGAGAAGTGATAAATTGATAATAGACTGGCCCTCACAGGGACCAAAGCCCAGCTTTGAAGCATCTTAATTCGTAATGGGAAAAGGTGATTTGGGATCACGAGTGACCCCAGCCTGACTTTCTGCTAGGAGCACAATCAAATCTTTCCCGAAGGAAGATGTCATCATCCCAAGCTTTAAATGATCTCTACAATTTTGCATATACTATGTCTATCACCTGATAAAAAAATACCCAGCCATAAGAAATTAGGTGACTGAAATCAACCAAGGGAAACAATAGACAGTAGAAAGATATCTGGGACTATAAGATAATTATGATTAATCTGTTCAAGAAATTAAAAGAGATTGAGAATTTTGACAAAGAATTAGAAACTGTAAAAAAGAACCAAAAGAAAATTTCTGAAATTGAAAAATATACTGAAGCAAATCAATTAATTAAAATCCTCAGCAGGTGGATTAAACACCGTTTTGTATAGAGCTAAAGAGAGAATGTAGAATTCAAAGGTTGGCCAGCATATGTTATCCAAAAAGAATGGAAGAGTGAAAGGATGAACAATATATAGAAGCACATAGAAAACATGGTAAAAAACGGTAACTTAAATGCAAATGTATTTTTAGAAGGAGAGGGCAGAAAGAATGAGGCTTCAACAGTGTTTGAAAAGATAATGGCTGAGAATGTACAACACACAAAAGATATCAAGCCATAGATTCAAGGATCTCTGAGTCAAAAATGGGATAACTACAAATAAAACTTACATAGTCATATCATAGTAAAACCATTGACAAAGTCAAAGAGAAAATCTTAAAAATAGGCAGAGTTAAAAAAAAAAAAAGGCAGATTGCCTTCAAAAGAAGCAATAAGAAGAACTGACAGTTGGCTTGGCTTCCAAAAGGATAGTGACATCACGCTTAGCTTGAAATATGTGAATAATAAAAACAAAACAAAAACACAAGAGCAGTTAATAGAACTGGTTCTGTCATTAACTTGTGTCATCCAAAGTCATTTTACATTTCTGGTCCTTTTCTCATGTTACAAATTAAAGTTTTTTAACTTTCACATTGTTTAATTTTATCATGTGCCTTTGTCATAGATTATGGATGTACTATTTTGTGTTCATTGTGTAATATCTCTGGTCTATGTAATATGTTAGATATAGTTCTATTTTACTTACATAAATAAATTAATCGCAAGATAGATGTTGCTTCCCCCAGGCCTCATCTGTATGTTTTCCTGGGTAATACATTGGGTCCAAAAGTAGTAAACACTCAAGCAGGTTGATATTGCACATATTCCAACTTAGGGAAGCAGGGGGGCAGAGGGTGCAGAAATATTAGCCTTTAGCCTTTTTTTTTTAAAAGAAATAAGAGCAACAATTAAGGTAGATTCCTGAAATTCTAACTGTTTCTTTTAATCCAGACTGATTCACTCACTTGTGATTCATATTGTTTGACCTGTGCTTTCCCTTCAACTGAGTCTATTTCCTTCTGCACAGTTCCCCAAGGAAATCGACTTGTTCTCTCCATAGTGATGTTCTACCTTTTAGTTCTGTCTCCATTTAGGGAACCCTGTCTTCTCAATCCATTGATTTGTTTTGACATTCTCCTTAACCAGTTACAGGTGACTTGTTCTCCATAGAATTATTTTTATTAACATTATTTTTTATTCACCCTTGGACAAGATATCTAGACCTTAAGTTTCTCAGCAATTCAGGGTACGTGGATTTTCCTCAGCTTTACTCTTTGTTCCCTTGGGTTTTAGTTTAATCCTCTTTTTAGATAAATAGCTATACAAGTCTGGACATTATTTTAGTATTTAGCATGTTTTTATTTAATGTAGTTCTTCAGGTCTAAAAAGATATCTTCTTGTATCTTCTGCTGGCTGACTCCCTAATAATCTGAAGAGAGCACTTAGACAACTATAATCTCTAGTATGTACCAACAGTCTGACATCAGACCACATAGTTTCCTGGGATTTGAAATCTTTGAATGAATGAAAGATGTTCCAGTATAGATTTGGGCAGTTCACATTGTTTCACTGACAACAGTCACTGTGGCAGCTGTTCACTTTCCTATTGGTTACAGATCTGGGGTTTCTGAAGGAATGTTTAGAAGAGAGGAGGGCTTTCTCTCTTTTCAGGTATGCCAGCCTTGTTGTGTTTCTAAGCATGGGTCATAAGCTTGGGTCGTAAGTGTGGGTGGCACGTCAATTAGACATTGCAGGCTGGTCTTGTAAGGCCTTAGGTAGTAGATGTCTCTTTTACATTCTGGTAATAAAAAGATGGACTTGTCAGTGACAGATGCTGTTTATAACCAGATGTTAGAATTGGTTCTTAAAATATTTATGTTTACTCTTTAATATTCCCTAACATAATTTAGTTCAAAATTTTCTCTGATATAAGTTCTCTTTGGGAGATAGTTTTAAAAAATAGCTTTAAAGATATCTAGTTTATTTGTACTTGGAAGTTGTTCACAGAGAATAAATCTCCCTTCATTATATCCTTTAATTTAGTTAAAAGAAAACTTGGAACAATCAATAGGCCAACTGCGAAGTCAACGTTTATTGAGAAACTCAGGAGGGAGAAGTATTTCTGTTACAAGTCTGAGTGCAAGTGACCTTGATGGTGGCACTGTGACAGGTAAACTCTACAGATGTTTGGAAAACCTTTTTTCATTTAAAAAAATATTCCTGAATTACATAGTGAATATACTTAATCTTTGGATGAGTATAATCTACACATAAAATCACACAAATAAGGATTAAAAGATGCAAAGATTTTATAGTGAATATTTAAAAACATATTTAATAATACTCTGTTATTATGAGTCTATCGCTTTTGTTGTTTGGACTCTGTAGACCAGGGGTCCCCCACCCCGGGGCCACCGACCTGTACTGGTCCATGGTCTGTTAGGAACCAGGCCGCAGAGCAGGAGGTGTGCAGCGGGTGAGTGAGCAAGGCTTCACTTGCATTGTCACCTGAGTTCTGCCTCCTGTCCTCCCTCCACCTCTTACCCCCTATCTGTGGAAAAATTGTCTTCCACGAAACCGGTCCCTGGTGCCAAAAATGTTGGGGACCGCTGCTGTAGACCACATAGAGCTTTACCTGACAAAACTTGGATTTAAGCGTCTTCCATTAATTAAAACTAACACAAAAATGTGATTTACTATGTCATATACTTTCTAGATTAGAAGTCCTAGCTTCATAGTTTTTCAAAAATCTGATTATGAAATATCCTATGACACTTAAGAACAGGTGAACTTTATCCTTGGTGTGCAGCTAGAATTCAATGGCTAGATTAAAGGTAAAAACACTTACTTTACCTATAGTTAATTATACTTTTACTTATCTACAGCACTGAGGTTTATGTTTGAATAATAAAGACTTAGAATAGAGAAGAGTAAGAAAGTCTGCAGTGAAGAGAGGTGATTTAGATAGAGCGAACATTAGTAGCTCGCATTGTTAATATTGTTATTGATCATGATGATAAGGATTATAAATTGGACACAATCAGCTATTCTTCTGTATGTAGTTAGTTCTTATTGATTTTTAAATGCCATTTATAATTTAGGTTAATTAATTTGAAAAATTCTGTTAGTATTACTTTAGGGAGTCATAAAAGTTATTTTTATTTGTTATTTTCATATAAGAAAATATATTGCTTCTTTGAAAAGTATAGCAGATTATAACTTTTGACATGTTCTATTTCCAGCTTATTTCTGTTCCGTTATCAGCTTAAGTGCAAGATTAGTGCCAGTCTGTAGTTTTATGGCCACAGTAACATACTTGGGAAATAATCTGGGGTAAGGGTGCATGTGCATATTCATGTCTGCTATATATTTATTGAGTCAAGTCTTAGATTGTTTCCTCTCATGCAGTATTTTTATCCTCTTCCTTTTCCTTCATTTGTAAAGAAAGCCACCGTTTTCCACCTACTTCACCTCTCAAGGACTATGGGGATCAACAGGGTAGTAAACGAATTAGATCCAGAGCTGGTGTCCGATTTGTTCGAGAGACTGATGACGTGGGCCAGGTACTTTGTACCATTTTGTAATCTGTATTCCTTATGCTTCTATATAAATGACTGACACTTGAATTTTATGGCTGTATTTTAACCATGAGTTTCATCATCAGTAGCTTTGTACTGATTTTTTTAAAACCAAGTAAACTTTTATTTTCAATGTGTATCATATGTGTATTTCAAATTTTGTTATGGAGGATTATATTTTGTAGAACAGTTTTAAGTGAGTTTATTTGGACATGTTGTGTTTCCTCATTCAGGTGGCTCACTCGTCCGTAAGCCTTGCTAAGTCAGCTACTTTTTATTTTGCTAAGTTTGGTTTAGTATGAACAAGTCAGTGCTTGTGTGGTGAACCTATTGATTTTTCCATTAGTGTTTTTCTGATTGTTGAATCATCACTGGAACTACTATCTATTAAATGAGATTTTCCGTCTTTTTTTAGTAAAGATTTCAGAAGTATTAGTTCTAGGGACATTTTTCTTTTTTGCTTTAAATTTCTCTGCAAGAGCTGAACAGACATTTTTGTTGTTGCCGTGGGTAGCTAAATTAATTATATAGGGGCTAGGGGATATTTCTGACTTTGACGGCTTTGTTTTGGTAGTTTTTGGACTGAGGGTTAAAAGTTTGTTAGGATACTCATGTGTAGCTTTCACTTGTTACAGTATAAGATAGAGATAACAAAACTAAGTGCATTAGAAGGCACCTTGTAGGAATGTTTCCTTGACTTTTTTTTTTTTTTGTAGTTGTAACTTGCTAGCATGAACAACATGATAAAACCTAGGGCAGAGAACAATATCCTACTCAGTTACTGTCTCATTATATTAGTTTAGTTCCTCTCTCTTGGGAAAGGGCTTGTAAACACTGATGAGCAAAAATCTTGCCTTTTCTTGGACTTTATAATCTAGAGTGGGAGCTAGATATTAATCAAATAAGTACATAAACTCATCCATAATTATGGGCAGAGATGTATGCCCTAACAGAAAGAAGCACAAGGCTACGGGAAGATATAGCAGAGGGACTTGCTTCAGTCAGGGAAGGCTTCTTGAAGAACGAATGGCTGATGAACTGAGATCCAAAGGTTGAGTAAGAGTCACTCAAGGTAGAACAGATACCTTGGCAGGAAGGAGAATAGCACCTATAAGCAAATTAAAGAAGGCCATGTGGCTAAAGAAATACGGAGCACTGAGCCCATGCACAGCTTCGTAAGGGAGCGACAACTGTTTCAAAAAAATCACTGTGGCTCCTGTACGGAGAATGGAGAGCCAGCGTGGGCAAACCGGTAGGGAAGATAGTGCTGTTTCATGGGTGTGAGGTGAGGTCACTTGGGTTAGGAGAAATGGAGCTGGGAAGAAGGGGTAGATATGAAAGCTATTTGGTGGACAGAACGAAAGGTTTTGAAGATTAGATGACCATTTGGGGAGGGGCGGAGTGAGCGAAATGGAGGAGTCAAAGGTGAATTCTAGCAGTCTGGTTTGCAAAATGGGAAAATCATGATGGGAAAACTTAACTATATTGTCTGTTTTTCATCTGCTCTTATTACCTGCACTCCTTTCTCTTTAATCATTCTTCTTTAAGTGTTTTCTTAAGATGAGCTTAACTTCACATGAGTGTGTACTTGTTAATGCCTCAGTGCAACACTTGTGGTTTTGTTTACTGCTCTGTCTCCCATATTTGGTTGTGAGCCGCTTGTTTCCCAGCTCTGTTGTTGGCACTGATTGCTCAATGTGCATTTCTTGAAATGAAGCAATTTGTTGTTTCTGCAAGTCTATATAACCTTACATCTTTTATCATCAATTATAGCATACACATACATGTATAGATAAATATTTACAATTAAAAGTACAATAATAGGAAGGAAAATCCATGTAACTACTACCCAGGCCAAGAAAGAGATCATTTTTATACACCCAAAGCCTCTTTCATATTCCTTCTTTCTCCAAGTGCTATTAACTGTTTTGACGTTTATGTTAATCATTATCTTGCTTTTAAAAAAAAAATCAGTTTTACTACTTACCTCATGTTTAGTATTACCTCATTTTAAAATTTATGTAATTGGAATAATATTGTAGACCTTCTTCTGTAACTTGCTTTTTCCATTTGATGTTGTGTTTTTGACATTCAGCCTTACTGATGTGTAGGTAGTTTTGATCATTTCATTTTTACTGCAGTGTGAAGCGCGACTGGAAGAATATCCTACAATTTTTTTATTCCCATTCTATATTTAATGGACTTTTGTTTTCAGTGTTTTCATTATGAACAGCCCTGCCCCAAACATTCATTGATGTGGTTCTTGGTTCAGGTGGGCAAGAGCTTCTCTGCAGCGTGGATTGAGCGCTGCAGTGTGTGGTCTCCTTGAATAAAGTTCCGTTGTGACACAGTCATGTTCATTTGTTTATGGCGACTTTTCTGCTGTACTAGAAGAGTTGAATAATTGTGATAGAGACCATAGAGCTCAAAAACCTGAAATATTTGCTATTGTACCCTTTACAAAAAAGGTTTGCTGACCCCTTTTCTAGGGTAACTATAAGGAGGAGAATTATTATACTATAGAGATGTGGTGGTTAATGTCATATATCGCTTTAAATTTTTTTCTGAAAAAATATTATATTTAGAGTAGACATTAATTTCATTCAGTATTATTAATATTATGAAATTTGGGCATTATTATGAAGAGCAGGTTCTTATTATTACCCTCAGTGAATCTTCATGGGAGAATTCCACAGAATTCTAAATGGATAACTGTGCTTTACCTCTTCTAGCTTCATGCTTTTCATCAGTCCCTCCGAGACCTCAGCAGTGAACAAGTTCGCCTTGGAGATGATTTCAACCGGGAAATCGCCAGAAGAAGCAGGTGAAAGCAAAATATGGTTTTCATTGGAGGCATGAATTATTAGAAGAATAAAATAGTTTCTATAATTGACATGTTTACATGAATTAAAAAAAGTGTACTATTTTTATAGCATATTTTAAAATTTATTAATAGAATAGCTCAAGACCATTTGAATTTAGAATATATTATGACTCACTGTAAAGGCATTAATTTCATATTTTTAAAAACATTTTAACTTATTACAATGGAGTGCTGACGCTGCAGAGAGATACATGATGTGATCTTAGCAAAGAAGTAGATTTATAGATACATTGGAGGGAGGGAGACAGATAGACACAGAGGCCACCTGATTGACAGCGGAGCTTTAAAATAAACAGCGTAATGTTGAATTTGTCGATTGATGGACATGACCCATTGTAGAATTTGATAGGTTAGCTTTCAGTTGAAATCTTTAAAAGCCAATGGTTTATATCTGCGCAGTCTTTGCAGTTTTTTTCAATTCTAGGTAGTCCTCAAGAAGTATCACTTTGTTTAAAATTCCTTCACTGTCTTTTTATTTTCATCATGAGCCATGACCGTTGGCTTTCATTTGGAGACCATCTTTTTACAAAAAACGAAGATTTTTGTATCCCTTCTCCAGGGTCACAGTCTATGTGCAGTAACGATTAGGGAACAGCAAAGCTGAACTGAAATTTGTTTACCAAGTTCACTTGCTAACCCCCACTCCAGCTAATGAATTCATTCCACACACCAGTCTGGTGTTGCTATAGCACAAAGAGTCAAAACTATAGTTGTTCAGTCTATGACTATCAACTATAGTCTGTATAACTTACGTGCTTTTATATGAAGAAGGCAGGAAATTCAGTAATAAGAATTAAAGACCTTGCTGACACTGTTATTACTGCTACTACTAGTTAATATTATTGAACACCTATTTCATGCCAGATTGCTTTAGGTTTAATTCTAGCAACAAACCTAATAAGGTAGTCATTACTATTTTCTCCATTTTTTTGGGTATGAAAATGGGCCCAGAGAGATGGAATAACTCAGTTTCCTGGAGGTGGAGCAGAGGGACGTGATGGAGTCATAATTCCAGTCTAGGCAACCAGGCCCCAGAATGCTCTTTACCACTCTGATTCAGTGTCACGTTCATAGGTACCTGATATGAAGAAGGCATTTAAATTCCTGAATTTTGAGCTATATCATTGGCTATAATATAAATCTTTTAAACCTATAAGGGTTAGTTAATTTAATACTTACATTTTTTTTTGACAAGTTGATAAAGTCAACAGAACGGCATCAGCATTCTAACATAGTGTGTTCCTGGAGTAGCTTTATTACGTAGCTTTTGCACACTTGAAGGAAGCATATAAATTAAGCACTAGGAACATGAGTTTAGGAAATAGTTGTCCTGTAAGAAGATGCAGAGATGACTTAGCTGATTAGTTCACATGGACATTTGGACGTGCGGTGGTGGACTGGAAATCTTCTGATCCATAGGCTGGTACCATTTAATAATAGTTTGTGTGACCTGGAGGTGTGTGTGAGGAAGAGAAACAGTATTTAACCCAAAATAGGAGTCAAGTTTCTTGTGAAACTTGGGAGCTTCACTTTGTGAATGAGGAAGATTTTAAGATCCAAATCTACTTTCCTTGTAAAATTTTTTGCAAGTTTTCAGTTCATGTTTATAAAAATATCCTGGAGGGAAGTTGCTAGGTTTAATTTTCTGCCTGATTCAGAAAGGTCGATACGCTCATTTAATGATTATTTTTAATTTTTAACACATACTGTAAAAAGTACCCTGGAAAGCAGGTTTTTAGAAGGGAGTAAATAAAGTTTCAATCAGAATTCACCTACTTTGGATGCCATATGGAGAACTGATTCGAGGAGGACAAGTTAGAAGACTTTTGCATTAACATATGAGAGACACTGATGGCTTGTCCAGGACAACGGCAAGTGGCAGGTGGACAGGGGCGTGTTTCAAGGTGTTTTTTTGCATATCAAAGAGGCAGGATTTAGCAATGCATTGGATGGGGAGGGGATAAGGGAGCATAAATCCAAGATAACTTGAAGATTTCTGACCTGAATAGCTGGGTGGATGGGTAATTCCACTTCTGAAATAGGGAAAACTGTTGCAAGTAGGCGAGGTATAGAAATTAAGCATTTGACCTTGGATATGTTAGGGTCGAGAGCCTGTGAGTCATATAAATAGAGTTGTAAAATACCAGTGAGGTATTTACTTTGGAGTATGAAGGAGAAGTCTCTTCTAGACATTTAAGTAGTCAGCATAGAGAAGTGGTATTTGGAGCCATGGGAGTGGAGGATATTTAGAAACGGCAGCGAGGGCATCAGGGACAGGGCTGAAAGCCAAGGCGCTGTACTACACGGAAGTCATCCCAAAGGGGAGCTGAACTGAGGAGGAACGGCTAGTAAGCCGTGGGGAACCCAGGAGCACATGGGACCACGGAAGCCAAGATAGAGGTACAAGGAAAGACATTTTTAGAGATACAGAGACTTAGAAAATTTACCCTCTAAGGTTTTGGGGGAAAGCCCCAAAAATCTAAATTCAGAATCAATTCCGAAGGACTGACCCTAGCCTTATTCAAATTCGTAAGAGCTTTGATAGGAGAAACTTATATACACGGGCAAGACAGCTGCTCCCAGTGGTGGCATATTGGGAAGAATCTACACACTTCCCAGGACAGGATTCTTTATCATAGGGGGTTAGCAATGAAACCATGTAGCGGGTAATCATGTAGTCCACCAGAAAGAACAACGTATTCCTAAGGTAACAGACAACATCAGGCAGTTATGGTGCTCCTTGCATCCATTAACCTCCTTCCTGGGGGCAGGACATTTGTCTTTGCCTGGCATTCTGGTTTTCTGCGTAGTCAGCCAAGCCTGAGGCTACAGAGAGTTGAGTCTAACATTTCCCAGATGCCTTTGTTGCTGGAGCCATATTGCATCTGAATGAATTCCCCTATGTGAAGTAACTTCTTTCTGAGGAAATTATCTAAGGGCACACAAGTAAAATAGGTGGTGACCAAGACAGAGGAAGATATAGGTTATAAAAATTAGTAGAACTAACCCAGAAGTTCAGTGAAAATAATCCCTAGAATGATAGTCACATTGCATGCCCAGGAACTGTTCACTGAATTAGAGTAAGAAGTAAATATCCTTGAGAAAAAATGTAGTCAAATGGAGCTGATTCTTAATAAATGATTCAGTAACGAGTGGCAGAAAAGTATCAATGATATGATAAATAAGACCCAAATAAGGCCAAAAGATGAGAAACTTTAGAAAAAAAACTAACACCCAAGAAAACTAATGATACAAGTAAGAGCTGACTAAAATGTGAGCATGACAGAATATGAGCAAAAAGCATTAATTCTCTATGATGGAAAAATTTGTACGAGGTGTAACAAGTATGTTGTGCAAGTCACACAGATAACAATAGAAGAACTAAAAATAGCAATACATTCATCCAAAATTGGAGAGGAGTGCGAGTGAGCTCAATACAGGGTCCGGCACAAATGATGCCCCTTTTTTATTACAATATCTTTTATTACAAAATCATACGCATGTAATTCTGTGACATAACAATATCATACTCAAGCACACTATGTGACACCACGTGAAATGTTCAAATTGCTGCCCATCTTGTGCGAGGCATTCATGTACCCCACTCATCACACTCAAGCAGGACTTAACTTCTGCCAGATCCTGTATTTTCAAAACAGGGGGTCAAATGAAAATGTCTAGAATTGAATATGATGGAAATAACCAACAAAAGAATTGAGAACAGAAATGGTCGGATGTGGTTGCCCATGGGATGTGGACTAGAAGTAAGGAAGTCCTTTGCTTTTCTTTGTCTTTCTGTACTATTTTAGTATTGATCCTGTATGTTGTTAAATTGATGGGCACAGGGTAATGGGAGATAAGTTAGTGAGAGCCGAGTTTGTAACAGTGTATTCTGATGTAACTTGATTATGAATTGCTGGAGAATTGCTGGAGAGGATATGAGATTAAGAGTTTTGTTTTCCCTCCTTCTCTCTCTTCCTTTCTTCTTAATTTAAAATGGAAGATATTGTAGTCTCTTTGTTTATTGAAGGTGATGTTCCAGTATAGAAGTGTTTCTGAGTGTAGTCTCCAGACTAGCAGCATTAGCAGCACCTAAGAAGTTCACCTAGAAATGCACATTCTTGGACCCAATACGAGAATTACTCATTCTGAAATTTTGGGGGTTGGGTCCATCCCTCTGTGTTTTTACCAAGCTCTCCAGATATTTCATGTTTGCTGACAGTTGAGAACCACTGCAGTAGGATATTATGTAATAACATTATTATGTTGTAAATTTTATTAATTGTATACATTTTCTCAAATAGCCAACTTGAAATATTTCTCTTTGTTGCATAGGTCAGATGCTGAAACAAAAAGGACTTTGGAAAGATTGACTGAGAAACTTAGTGAAACCCAAAAACAAGAAATGGTGAGAACTCTTTGTTTATAAAAAGTTTTTTGTATATAGATTGTAGAGAGGGTGGTTGGGCTCATTGTACTCACAGTGAAGTTTAGTAAAAGCTCTTTGGGTGGTACATGTCATTTTGTCTAAAAATATGTTTTACAGTTCTTACAAAATGTTCATGAATTATACGTTTTAAATATTTACACTAGTAGCATATTAGAGATAAAATTATCATTTGTTTTAGTTTTTGAATTGTATTATGAATATTTTAAATTATGTTGACTTAGTGATTCTTTTACAGCTTTTGTTAAATGATTTTTGAAAAATATGGAATTTTTTGGTAACATCTCTGTAGCACTCCTATTAAGTGTTTCAGGCCATTTTGCATAATGTGTACACAATTGCTACAAAGACTTCCTTGCTGTCTGTCTTTGTTTTAGATAGTGCTGATTGAAAATACCCCTCATTCTTGAGTTTTATTATCTCAAGCTCAGATTGCTCACACTGATTATGCAGTAGACTCCTTTTTCCAAGTCACTATTCTTGGTGAAATTAAGGTTAAATAATAAAGAATATACAGTGTCTATTTCTTTGCATCATCTGTGTGTTTTTTTTTTTAAGAGAAAAATAATAGAAATTGCTACTATACTAATGCTACTCTGTCAACTTTAGGAACAATGTGTATTCATTCATTTTCCACAATACCTTTTGTTTTTTCAAGACAAGGAAAGTTAGCAGAATTTTTTTTGTTAACATATTTTATTCAAACTGGAAGTTTCCCAGTCAAAGCAGACAATTTTTCTCTAGTTGTTAATTGTGTTTACAGTTCCTTACATAGATACATTAAGTTCTTTTTTTTTTTTTTTTTGAGTTTGAGTTTGTTGGCTGCATCTGCCAAGAGGTGGTTATGCTGTATTATCAGAGATCGTCTCAGTTACTATCATTTCAAAAATAAGGATAAGCACCTGACCACATAAAAGCACTTTCCTCATGAGTTTTTAGTGCTGATTTTTTTTATGAAGTCCCCCAAAGAGGTGAAGATACAATGCCTGTCTTCTGTTGAAGTAGACAGATGTTTTCAGTTAGTACACGATAGTGTGGCATCTAATGTGTGATCAGCACATGGGATATTTATCTATCTATCTATCTATCTATCTATCTATTTATTTTTTACATAAAGTCCTAGAGTTTCCCAAGCACACCAAGGTCACCTTTAATTTACACTGTACCTGTCTAAAATATCTAAAATAGCATATACTTCAAATGAAGGTCTTTGTTTTGGAGATTAATAGATTGGTAGCGTTCTTTATTGCAGTGGTTCACACAGAAAGAAATTTATGCCATTCTCTGTTTTCCATATTATCTCAACAGGAGCTGATTGCACTCTTTTAAGAATGTAGCTCTAAGGTCCTCCATACCTTAGTAAATGGTCTTCTGGCTCTTCTCATAAACTCTAGAGTGGAATCTGTTATTTGACAGTGGAAACTGCTGAAGCTTTTTCTTTGCCTTTTTCTTTCTTTAAAATTTTTAAAATTTGGAGATATAATGCACGTGAATAAAAGTACATATGTCAGTGTACAGCTTGATTAAATATTGCAAGGTGAACATGCCTATGTAACTACCACTCACATCTGGAACTAGAACGTTACTAGCGCACAGGAAGCCCCCTTATTTCCCCTCCCCATCAGTAACTCCTTCCTTTTTAAAGATGACAATTATTTTGACTTTGAACCTTTTAGATTACTTGTGCCTGTTTTAGACTTTATATAAATGCAGTCATTCAGGGCATGGGTTTTGTGTGTGTGTGTGTTTTTATGTGTGTGTGACTTCTTTTGCTAAACGTTATGATTGTGATATTTCTGGATATTGTGTCATGTACTTGCCATTCATTTTTATTGCTCTTTAGTATTCCAGTGTATAATATACAGGAATATATTTAAAAATTATATGATGGATATTTGAATTATTTCAAATTTTGGGCTGTTGTGAATAATGCTATGGTGACTGATCTTATTATTTTAGTGCATCTTTGCATGCATCTCTGTTGCTACATAACATGGAGTGCAATTGCTAGGTTCCTTCCCATTTAGTAGGTTTTGATAAACAGGTTTTCAAAGTGGCTGTGCTAATTTACACTCTTACTCTTAGTGTATGGGAATTTATGTTGCTCTTCATCCTTTCCAACACTGACACTATTTGATCTTTCAGTAATAGCCATTATGTTTGGTGTTTATGGTCTCTAATCATGGTTTTAGTTTGTATTTTCATGATTACTAATGAGGATGATGAGCATCTTATTTTATGTTTGTTGGCTCTTAGCTATTTTCTTTTTTGAAGTGTCAGTTTGCTCTTTTGCCCAGTCTTTTACTGGGTTGCTTGTTTTTTTGCTATTGATTTGTGGGAGGTCTTTAGATATCTCGTATATGAGCACTTTGTCAGTTATATGTATTGCAGATACTATCTCCCATTCTAAAGCTGTATCTTCTCATTTTTAAACTCTCTTAATGGGATCATCTGTTGATGACAGAAAATATATTTAATTCTCTGCGAAGAAAAGTTGCTTAGATAATTTGATAATTATTATGTATGAAAGGGCATATTTGCTTTTGTTACAGATTAGGAGCCATACCTATCATAGATTACTTTATTATTTGTTGTTGGGATATTTCCTTAAAGATTTTATTTATTTACTTTTAGAGAGAGGGGAAGGGAGGGAGAAAGACGGGGCGAGAAACATTGATGTGAGAGAGAAACGTTGATTGGCTGCTTCTTGAATGTGCTCCGACCTGGACCAGACCTGCAACCCAGGCATGTCCCCGTACTGGAAATTAAACTGGCAACCTTCTGCTTTGATGACCAACACTCAACCAACTGAGCAACACCAGTCAGGGCTGTTACTAAGATATTTCAACATTAAACTTCAGAGCCGAGTGTTAACTGTTTCTGGTTCACCATTACTGTTAGTGTATCGACCTTTAGGATTCCAACCCAAAGGCTAGGTAGGGGCTGGGCTGGGGAAAGTTCAGCCAGGGGGCCCCTTCCTTGGAAAGGCTCTCAACTTCGGTTTTTTCCCCCTTAGACTCCACATATCTGTTAGAAACTGTTTATCTTCTCAGTGCCTCAGCTGACATTTCTTAAATGGGCTGATATTTCAGGGAGAAAGTGGCCTAAAATATGGACCAGCCTCTCTGAATTCCTTTCTTCTCCTGCATTTGGTCTCATATGTCTTTATTTCTTTTTAGTTTTCCAGACTGTTATTTAAAATATTATTTCTAGCTTTTTAAGTTATTTTCATTGGAAGGGTTGGTCTAAATTATTTAGCCTGTCATTTTTGGAAGTGAAACTCCTTCAATCTTTTTGTATATATCATATTTCATTATTATGTTTGCTATTTCTAATGCATACAATTTTAGAGGTTCTCAGCTGTTGTACAAGGCTTCTTTTAATTGTTGTATAGGTAAACAACACGTGAGCATGCTTGTAACAAGAACTTTGATCCAGACTTGAATATTCTCAGTGTTCTGCCGAGATCTTTGTAGATTTGAGAAGCTATGGGCATATCTAGCTCAACTGTCTGTCATGCTGTCTTTTTGACATCGTTAGATATTTGGGATAGTTTGAGGTAGAATTTGAAAATGCTAATTTGCCTAGTGCACATTACTTTTGTTAAATTTCACCTAGCTAGCAAGTACTATCTACACAATCACTCTAGAGTATTAAAATGTGGTTCTAAAGTGTAACCACTGAGCTGAAAATTAATAGATAAATTTAAAGAAAGCCTGAGTTCTTTCATGTCATCGTTACTATTGATCAGAGTTACTCCACATCAGATAAAGCTATGCTTGCACAACTGGATGTCACACCTCACTAGTTCACTGCTCATTGCTGTAATTGATGGATACACCTTGCTAGTTTACTCTGCTGTCCAGTGTGCTCAGCTCATCAGGACACTTTTTTTTTAATGTTGTCTAAACCTGGAAAATTGTACACACCTAATTGTTCACTCAGTTGAACTGCTCATCTGCCAGTTCTTCACATTAAGTTGTGTTGCTACAACTTGTTTGGTGCTTTATGTAAATTTGCTTTCAAAGTAAGATTGTTCATAACTGTACAGAGGGCATCTCAAACCACATGGGGGTATATGTAGTCCTGATTAAGAAACAGATTTCTAATGCAAAAACTTAAAAATAATATTGTTGAATTTTAGAAGGCCTTCTGCAGGCCACATGATGTTTACTTCAATTTGTACAAGGCTTAAATATAGATTTTTGTGACTCACTTATTCCAACTGAAGTCAACATTTATGTTTTATAACTATTTGATGTGTTGTGTTGTATTTGTGAATTCATGATAGCATACTGTCAGAAAAGATATTGTTTTGTTATTTAAGCATTAAACTTCGCAGAGACTGCAGCTGTTTCCCCCTCCAGATTTAAATTTAGAATAAAGTTTCCAAAATGATGCACGTTCACAGTGGAAAACTTTTAAATATTGTACAAAGAAAAATGACTGCCCCTATCTCCTACCAATTTCATATTCCGTTGGTAACCACTGTTAATCTCATTCATTGTGCATTATTCTGAGGCTACAGTTGTTTATCATGCATTTTCTTAGTAACTAAAATATATCTTGAAAGTTTATAGAACACATTTTTCTTTGAGAGGCAAAAAGTACTTGTTTCTATCATACATGCCAAGATCTGATTTGTTAATCCTTTGTGAATCATAGATTTTTATTTGTTTTGCAAGTTGCCTGTTGGAAGGGAATAATTATTTATAGCATGGTATTATGGAAAATATTTTCTGTTAACACTTAATTGTGGTAATAATCAATATCACATGGATGTTTTACCACAGGGGAAATTAGTTGTCTAGAATTTGCCCAGTAGAATATGAGTGCATTATCTTTTGATTATTCATGGAGGGAAAAGTCAATTTTATTTTAGTTTTCTATAGAAGGGTCATTATTTTAATTAAAAATGTAAACATGGATCCAGCTGTTTCTGGAAGAGTTGGCCATGAATT